ATTCCATGTTCAGTAAATGCCGTTTTGAATCATCCTTAAAACTTAGCAAGGTGCAGTTTAAAACGAAGTTTTGTTTTTTACTAAAGATTGAAAGAAATTCTTTCCAAACTAAAGGTCCCCGATATTGAATTTGGTACGAACTTAATTTAAGAAAGTTTATGGGAACCACAAAGTTATTCACTGAAAATTTGGTTGGATATTAATGGGAGATTTCATTAAAGTAGGATTGAAATGTTACTGGAGAAAACCCAAGTTTTGCTTTAAACATAAATGAGGAGCAAACATTCAAAATGTGTTTTCTCCAAAAAAAATAAAAACTGAGTTATTGATGGTTTCTTGTAGTCCATGTTAAATAGCACCAGATTCAAGCCTTAGTTTCAGTCAAATCATGCTATATCCTATTTAAAAACAGCGTGCAAAACTAACTGTTCAATCAAAGAGTGTTTTCTCCAAGGTCGGTGTTCAGTCAAACAGTGCTTTCTCCATCTGACCAATGGGAGCGGTCCTCTCTGATCACATGACTAGTTGGCACAAGCTGTTTTAACACGTGGTTCAGTACTGAAAGTAAGGTTATGGTAGTTCACTAATACTATAGCTCTACAATTTTATTAGTTTCAATCTTTCGATTTCAAATGGATGAAGTGGTTGATGGTATTTTAGTAAGTATTGGAAACACTGGAGCTCGTAAAAGACAGGCAACTGGCAAAAGAAGAAAAGAAGAAAAACAGAAGCGTTATTCATCACCTGCAGGAACCAATGTATACATTCCGTGCAAGCATTCAACAAAGAAGTTCTCATGTTGTGATATTAGACCTTGCGATGTAAAGAAACTGAGGGACAAACTTTATAAAGTTCCTGACAAACTTCGTCAGGAACTTTATAAAGTTCCTGACGAAGTTTGTCAGGAACTTTATAAAGTTCCTGACAAACTTCGTAACTTTATAAAATAAACTTCGACAAGATTCAATAATTAGTTCTCTAGTTGAAACAAAAAATGTTATTCGACGAAGGCCTAATAACCCTAACCTAAACAAGTCGCATAAGTCAAGCTCTCAACATGCCTTTTCTACAAACTACTTCATTGTTGGAAATAAAACGAGAATTCCTGTTTGTAAGAATAATTTTATTGCCATTACTAAAGTAGGAAGGACAAGATTGGCCAATATTGTTTCCAAAATCCATGCTGGAGATCCTATTGAAGATAGAAGAGGAGGTGATAGGAAAAGTAGCCACAGCATTGATAAAAATAACAAAGCGAGAGATTTCATTTCTAATTTGAAGGCATCAGAAAGTCACTATGAGAGAAAAAAATCTAGACGTTTGTATTTGAACTGTAAATTGAATATAAGAAAGCTGCACCAAATTTATTGTGACCAAATAAAGGATGATTTGTACAGAGTGAGTTTTGCCATGTTCAGGAGAGTGTTTGTTAATGAATTTAACATTGGCTTCAAATCGCCATCAAGTGATGTTTGTAGCACGTGCGCCCTTCTAGACCAGAAAATTAAAACATTGCCATCAGGATCCATGGAACGTGTAAACCTTATGACTCAGAAAAGGATTCATAAACTTAGGGCAAATGCATTTTATGCGTACATGAAAGAAAAAACCGATGAATCTGTGTGCAGTTTGTGTTTTGATCTACAGCAAATACAACAATTGCCAAAAACAAACATTCAAGATGCATATTATCTGAGGCAGTTGAATTTTTATAGTCTATGTATTACTAGTTTGGATGGCAAAACCCCAACATTTTATACATGGTCTGAAGAGCAGGCAGGAAAAGGCAGTACCGAAATTTCCTCAGCTCTACATTCTCACCTAAGAACAATGAATCTTAAAGGAATCAAGACTTTACGACTTTTTTGTGACGGATGTGTTGCCCAAAACAAGAACAATATCAACCTTCAAATGCTTTTGCACTTTCTCTACTCTTCAAATAATGCTGACATTCAAGAAATTCAACTCTACTTTCCGGTCAGAGGCCATAGTTTTCTGCCAGCAGATCGTGTGTTTGGTAGGGTTGAGAAAATCCTTAGGAAAAGTGTAACAATAATATCCAAAGAACAATATTATGAAATTTACAAGAACATTGGAGCTGTAAAAGTTATGGGCGTTGATTGGGAACACCAATAACTTTAACTTTCTAAATACCAAATCACTCAACAGGTTCTTCAAAAATCTTTCATACATATCAGAATTAAAAAGAATCTTTCTCAAGAAACACCCAGGAACAGGAGCTGTCAAGGTCAAGGGCTTCAGAAACTATAGATTTGAAGATGGAAGTAAGCAAGCTGGAGAAGGACTCCTGAAAAGAGGAATAAAAGTTTCAAACGTCAGAAATATAACTTTAGAATCTCTTCCACTAAATCGTCCCATTTCTGCCGAGAAGAAAAAAGATGTTGAGAAACTCTTGAAACTATTATATGGCGATGGATGGCAGAGTGAGCCTGATTTTGAATGGTACAGGAAAATATTATTCGATGAACGAGACGGGAATGAAGAGGAAAATGAAGTGTGTGACTGTTTGGATGAAGATATTGGAATGAGAATTTAAGTTGTTGAGTATGTATTATTATTGTGTTTTATGTTACCATATTTTTTAATTTCTTAATTTGTGTGTTGCGTTATTTCAAAATTTTTCAAATTCTTGAATTGCACCAATAAACCCCATTGACTTTGTGTTATTCGTTTGTTGTATTACTTAAATCATTCAAAAAGTGTTTTATCCTTGTGAGACTCAATCAAAACATGTTTTCTCCTTAGTATTCTGTCAAAATGTGTTTTCTCCAAAAAATAAATGCATTTTTTTCATTTGTTTTCAAACAAATATCTAAAACAATGTATCAGAATACTCCTCAGAGCTATTAAGAACAATAGAAAACTATAACTTTGATTCATGACAGTTCTTTAAATTTTTATCAGTTTTTTGCGTTTCCTGTAAATTCTCATCTGAAGGAGAAAGCACGGTTTGAACGTTTGCTCCTCAAATATCATTACTTGATGAATATTAAGCTTATAAATATTTAAAGCTCCAAGCTGACGTAAGAGAGGTTCGCATTGTGTTTTTCTATTTGCCCCAAATACTATTTTGCAAGCATATTTTTGTTTACTATAAATTTTTTTGAGTTTAGTGTGATTAGTGTTACCCCAGGAAATGTTACAGTATGAAAGATAGCTGTGTATAAACGAAAAATATAAATTTTTTAAAGACTCGTTATTAAGAAAAGGTTTCGTTCGGTATAACATGGCAATATTTTTTGAGATCTTACCTTCAATATATTTAATATGAAATTTCCATGACAGTTTTTCATCTAAGAGCACTCCCAGAAAGTTTGTAGTCAATTCCCTTTTAATTATTTTATTATTGATTAAAAGATTGGGTAGTTTAAGAGGAATATTCTCGGCTTTACTAGGTTTATGGAATAGGATAAATTTTGTTTTCTCTACATTTAATGATAGTCGGTTACTTATAAACCACTCGTTGATCTTGTCTGATTCTTCGATAATTATTTTAAAAAATATCTTTGTGAGAATAAAACAAATTAGTGTCATCTGCAAATAAGATAGTATTTAATACTTTTGATGATAAATATAAATCATTTATATAAAGTAAGAACATTAATGGTCCCAAAACAGAACCTTGGGGTACTCCACAAGTTATTAAGTTGTTTTTTGAGTCTTTTGATTCTTTAAGTATAAATTGCTTTCTGTTAGTTAGGTATGATTTAAACCAAAGTAAACTTTGATTTTTAACACCATAGTTTTCTAATTTTTTCAAAAGAATTTCATGATTTACTGTGTCCAAAGCTTTGGATAAATCAATAAAAACCCCTATTGTATAGCAATCACTATTAAATCCATTTAATTACGAATTCAAAACGTCAGCAGTGCACGCCTTTGATGTCTTTATAACATTTAAAACATGAAAACTATAAAGAACAAATTTATAAAACAGGCGCTATTATTTATCTACTAAAAAAAATTGTATCATGGTATTTGTGATATTAAACAATAGATAATAAACTTTTTACTCAGTGACGCAAATGATTTCAAATGTAGCGAAGTACAATACTTTACAAAAAGAATACTTATGTAAAAGTACACATTTAAAAAAATACTTAAAAAGTAAAAATTCACAAAATAACTGCTCAATTACAGTAACGAGAGTAAATGTAATTCGCTACTTTCCACCTCTGTTTAAATGCCTTTGTCACAGACCTAATACCAAATTTATTAATTTTTTATTTTATTTTTATTATAGATTTTTCTACTTGCATGTTAAAAATGCATACAGACAATCAATTATTATGAGAAACGAAACTGATAATGTGTTATTACTTTATGACTAATAGTTATGCAATAACTCAAGGTTTGTAAAACCTTAGGGTTGTATGCAGTATCTCAGGGTTTTCAAAAAATTCGCTCCGCTTTTTCCTAATAAGTAATGCAGTATTTTAAACCGGATTTTATTTCGTGGTTTTTTTAATTAATGAATCGGTAGGCTCAAGTCAAAAGGCAGTCCACACAAAAAGCTGATACACAGTGTTGGTCTAATCTTATTCTTATAACGTTCCTACGAGAAAGTCCCCAAAAAAAAGTGGTTCATGACTCAAAGATTTAGAAAATGTGTCAAAGATTGAATTCTAAAATGCCCAAAGGGGTTGAAGTACTTGCTAAAGCAAAAAAGGTGTCTTTTAAAAAGACATCTCATAATAGTCATCAGTGGCAAGGCTGCATACCAGCCGTCTCAAAAATGATTAATATGCGATGTTTCAAAGAAATCTGGTTTAAAACATTTAAAAAATGTTAACAATTAGATGCCTTTAGTCGGCCGATTAACCTCTTAACGGCATCAATCTTACGTCTAAACAGCATTTCCAATCGAAGACGTTTTTAATATGCCCATTAGACCTCCTTGTGCCTGCTGTGACGTATACATAGTACATAAGTTATAAAGTCTTTTGATTTCTAGAAAAATAATTATATAAAAGCATTACCTCGTTTGAGTTTGGATTGCAGAAATCATTTTGACATGCTCCAAAATAGACAAAAAAAACTAAAAGTAAATAAATGATTATTCAAACATTACATAAAAACTACATTGTCATAAATAAAAGTTATATAAAAAAAGCTGGTAAAAGAAGCTATTAACACTTGTTATAGAGTATATGGTAAGAGTCTTGTAAAAATAGAAAAGCGTTTGCTAAACAGTGTGGAGACGAAATTTAAAACTACATGAAATAGATTTAAACGAGTAGAAGATTATTTTTAACATCGAGAGTGGCTTTGTAGCTATTTTTCAAGAAAAAAGAATTTAATTTTGGTAATGTTTTAAATGCTGCTCTAGAACAGAAAAAAAAATTATTTAATTTTTTTTGGATTATAGTTATATATATATATATATATATATATATATATATATATATATATATATATATATATATATATATATATATATATATATATATATATATATATATATATATATATATATATATATATATATATATATATATATATATATATATATATATATATATATATTTATATATATATATATATTATATATATATATATATATATTTTTTTTGGATTATAGTTATATATATATATATATATATATATATATATATATATATATATATATATATATATATATATATATATATATATATATATATATATATATATATATATATATATATATATATATATATATATGGCATATAACCCAAAAAAAATTAAATAATTTTTTATTCTGTTCTAGAGCAGCATTTAAAATGTTACCACAATTAAATTCTTTTTCCTTGAAAAATAGCTACAAAGCCACTCTCGATGTTAAAAATATATGTATAAATATATATATATACATATATATATATATATATATATATATATATATATATATATATATATATATATATATATATATTATATATATATATATATATATATATATATAATTATATATATTATATATATTATATATATATATATATTTATACATATATATATATATAAATATATATATATATATAAATATATATATATATATATATATATATATATATATATATATATATATATATATATATATATATATATATATATATATATATATATATATATTATCACTGTAAATATTTTAGGCATTTGAAATGCTTAAATGGGTTTAGACCCTCTCAATTTTAGCCTCAGCCTCATTTTCGACCGTTATCATTTTTTTTTCTAACATTACAAACACCCTTTTCTATTTTTAAAAAATAAATACTCTTAGATTTAAAAAAAATTGTAACGTGCATTTAAATTACTTAAATGAGTAAACCCTCAATTTTACTCATAATCCAAATATGACTTATTTAGCACTCTTTTCTATTGTTAAAAGACAAAAGCTTTTGAATAAAAAGGTTTTATTCAAGAGTTTTTGTCGTTTAACAATAAAAGTAACACAACATAAAAACAGCGGTCTGTTTGGTCACAAATTTTACAAAAAGTAATATAAATTAACAGCCAATAAAGTTGCTACACAAGTTATATATAAACAAATTAGTATTATAAATTTGTTTATATATAACGTGGAAGGGAAGAGGAGGGTTTTGTAAAGCGTGAAAATTTGTAACCACGGTGGGTCAGGGTGGAGAAAGGGGAAGGTTTTCAAAACTGTCAAAAATAACTTATTTTGACAGTTTTAAAAACCTTCGTACTTTGTAAACAATCCTTTTTAACTTAAAGAATGTTACCAATTAAAAGTTTAGGAATATTAACCAAAGCAGCCTCTTTACACAACACAACAACATGTCATACTTTTTACACAATTTTTGGTTCTCAAAATAATATGTAAGACTTATTGTTTACCTACATCAATTCTATTTAAAACGTGTTTTTTAACAATATCCGAGATAGCAACATTAAGGATCATTTTTTTTTTATCATTTTTTGTTTCAGGTTCTTCAAGAAGACCTTTTATCATAGAGCATCGTGGAAGAGCATTAAACTAGGAAGTTCACGCCTCCTCCGATGGCGCAACATTTGCTCAGAACTCGCTTTCACTGCGGCACGACCGCTAAGTTTTTTAGTTTTAGAAGTGTTACAACAAAGGTTAATACAACTTATATCAAACTATATTGGTTTCAATCAATTTAGGAAATTCTAATTCAACATTAAAACTGAAAATCAAATGCTCAAATAATTTTTATTTGCTTATTTTATTCCCAGCATTACCTCAACATTACCTTAACATTACCTCAACATTACCTTAAATAATAAATCTGAGAGAAGAAAATTTTCATGGTATATCAACTGCTAAACAAAACGAAATAAAAAACGCAACTTAAAATAATTAATAGTTCCAATCGTAATTGTCTAAATTGTTCCGTTAAAGGTGAAATATTTAAAGCAAAAAGAGCACATTAAAAAGAAATAATTTAAAATTACCAGAGTAACCCAAAACTTGTATACTAATACATGATTAAACGAGTAAAAACTAAAAATAGAACTTGTTCACTACTTATCTCACTAAGATACTTCAATTTAAATTATCTTACCGATAAAATTTTTCTCTTACCGATAAAATTTTTCTTCTCTTTACCAACTCTTACCGATAAAATTTTTCTTCTAAACTCTCAAATCTGTTGTTTCTTGAAAGCTCTAGAAGATTTTCATTGTTAAATAAAGCAATGTTAAAGATGAATGAATTTTTAATGACAACCTTGACTTCTCTTATACAGATATTATTAAGATAGATATTTAACTCACCCATCCAAACTCAACAAAAATAGAAAAAATAAATAAATGATGCTAATTAAAAAGCTTATTTATTTCTAACTAGCTGAGATTGGGCCCGTAAAAAATACGGGTCTTTGTAAGTCTATTCCACACCGAACTTGTTTATACTTTTTCTTTATATATCCTAGCTTTCCGGATCCGTAAAATACGGATCTTTACCAAACCTACCATTTTTATACACATCTATTCTACACCGATTATTTCTATACCTATTCCTTATTTACTTCAATATTTTATAGTAAAATAATTTTGTTCTGAAAAAATCTTTAAGAGCAAAAAAATTAACATGCGTACCTTTCCGCATACGTAGAGCTTATAAGAGTCTTATAATTAGGTTTTTTTTTCTGCTAAATGCATTTCATTAATAGCTTAGTGGTTAAGTACGCTGTCATCAGTGTTGTTTTGGAGGATTTAAGGCGTCCTCTTAGCGTAATAAATTTTGAAATTTTTTCAATCTTGCTTATATATTTATTAGCAAAAAAATAATAATATAGCAAAAAAGATTTCTAAATTTAAAATAAAATTTTAATGTTTTCTCATTTTATAGATATATAAGATAATATATAAACTTTTTTTCATGCAAAAAATCTTTGAGAAAGTAATGTTGAAACTGATAAAGTAATGTTGATTCAACACTGAGAAAGTAATATTAATGATTAAACACTAAGGATAAAAGGATAAATTTAAATATAACATGTTCGAAAATATTATTTTATAACTAATTAAACAGTAATCATGTTCATGAAGTCTAGAGTTAGCTTTTACTGATAAACGGTAAATGCACAAAAAAAATTCGATGTTTTTCGTGCGTTTACCATACTGCCACTTACACTCTGTTACACTAATAACTTTTTATTTACGCTTTTTAACCTTATTTTTGGTGGAAAGTTCAACCCTAAGTTAGTGTAAGATTCATTGCATTTACCGTGAAAGGTCATCTCAATCATGAAATTTTTATAAATTCAAAACTTTTTTTTGTTAGTTTAGTATTCAAAAATATCCAGATTATAAAATCACTAATATTAAAAATTTGTGTCAATAATGTTAAAATTTGTGAACACTAATATAAGAATTTGTGTTCGTATAAAATTTATACGAACACAATGTGCACATTAAAAAAAAAAGAATCTATTACTTACCAACAATTATAAAAAATATAATCTTCATTTTTATCTTTAGCACATTTTCGCTATCGTTAAACATTTTTGTTTTAAAATAAAAAAATACACGTTATAATAAATAACTTATTTTTTAGTTTTGAAGCATTTCTATAGTTTCTGTTTTGTGTATTACTCTTTATTGGTAACTGAATTGCTTGCGGTTCTTCTCTTTACTGGTTTACTCAATAGCACTCTTAGATAATTTTTTTATTGGTTGATTCAATCGTTCGTGATTTTTTTCTATTCATGAATTGTTAAATTTTTTAGTCTTAAAATTAAAAATATTCTCAATATGTCTTATTTAAATTTTTAAAATGCATGAAAACCTACTTGGTAATAAACAAATAAGTATGACCTACATAGTCTATTTGTTTAAGTTACTTGATGTTTTTAGGTAAAGTTATTTGGTATTAATCACATAGCTTTTTTAAAACAATCACGTGAATAAAAACGCATAAATTGATAAAATGATAAAATCGATAAAAACAATGTTAAACACTAAAGTAATTCTTCTTTTTGATGAACTCTTATTTAAAAGGTCTAATTTTAAACAAATTTTTGAATAAATTTAATATTATTTTAAGTTTATTTTCATAAAAATTCAACTTTTTCCTTGCCCCTCTAATTACCTCAAGATTAAAAACAAATCAAAAGTATTTCGAAACAAGATGCAAGATTTCAGAAATATTTACAAAATTAAAATTACTAACATAGAGTAAATACCTGATTATACATCATACTAATATAAATAATGATAAAAATTGTAATAATCTGCTGGATTACCTAAAAAGTTACCCCAACCTAGAATAAATTGCTATAAAGTTAAAACTCTGGACAAGTAATCATAAACATAAGATACTTCACAAAAAAAAAGCCCCGTCAATTGGGCCATCGGCGAGGTGTCCTTTTAGGCCTAATTAAAAAGGGTCAATAATTTTTATGGTCAAGATTTTTATTTTTCAAAATTATATTTTTTATATATCGTTGGAAAGATAACTTAGTTCTGATTCATATTCGTATAAAAACTATAGTTTAAAAATGAAAAATTAATAAGGTATGCTTTTTACTTTAACGCAACGTTATATAGATTCAAAGAATTTTACAATACCTATGGGCATTAAAACATTTGATATTATGTGCTAATTTAATCATGCATGTTGTAAAAGTTTATATTTTTATAAAACAATTTAGTAACCAATTTTAAGTAATAGTTAAATGTTATATGATGACTTTATGTTTATTTAGGGTGTAACGCCTAATGTTTTAAAGAAACAGTAAAAAAACATTATTTAGTAGTTTATTTTACTTATTTTAGATTTGTTTTACTTTTAATAAAAACTTTATTTTTACTATTGAATTAAATTTAAATCTTTAACGATACATTTATTAATCTACTAATATAATAGTTATAAACATGGTTTTAGTTTACATGGTCATTGTGGTTATAACTTCTTCTGGTAACTATTACTATAAAGTCATATAATCGATATTCTGTATTTTTGTAGATGCAATTATATTAATAATAATTTATTTTTAGATGGCTCAAATTGCCGTCGAAGGAAAGTGTTTGATATTCAATGAACCGTTTATTGTTGATGAAACTCTCAGTAAAGAGTCACGTGATGAAACTCTCAGTAAAGAGTCATCGTCAAGTTGAAGGAAATAAGAACACTAATAAAGTTTAGCAAAAAAATGGAAATGGAAGATTTAACTGCTTACTTCAATTCTATGAAAAATCAGAAACCGATAGAGCTCATCATAGCTGCAGAAGAAAATTTGTAGATCATAGAACTCTGCACACAAAAAAACAATACAAATTGTATCGATCTTCGGTATCATCTTCTCTTTTTGGAAACTCTTTTGTCTGGAAAAAAGGTTGTTTTCTTTATGGTAGATGCTGCCTACCATGCGTTATGGTAGACAGCATCTACCTCGTTACGGTAGATGTTGTCTATCATAACACATGGATGACAGTTTAGACTGCATGTGCCATCAAACTATCATCCATGTGTTATGATAGACAACATCTACCTCGTTACGGTAGATGTTGTCTATCATAACACATGGATGATAGTTTAGACTGCATGTGCCATCTGAAAATATACAAGAAGACCCCTTGATCTATCTATGTCAGAATCATTTAAAAAAGTTTGTAATTGTTTAGAAAAAAACGCTGATAGTGAGTTGTGCACATTGAAGGAGTTTCATAAGAAGATGTACCAACTTAACGGAAATGATGAAAACATATATTCAATTAAATGGCTTAAAAAGAAATTAAAAAATCATTACGGTAACGACATATTTTTTGCTGAGTTAAAAGGTCTAACAGATGTGGTTTATTTTAAAGATATGGCAACTGATTAATAAAATGTAAAAGACAATATAAACAGTTGATGATAAAGTTAGAGCAACAGCAAAGATTATTAAATCAGATATAAGGGAAATCCCTTATAATAAAGATGAATACCCTACTTCAGATGATATAACTAATTTCAAAGGTGATCCAAAAACATGGGTTCCACGTAGCTCAATGATATTTGTTCAATTGCTAACTCCATCCAAACTAAAAATAAATAAGTATATTGTGCAAGCTTCAAGACTTATCTCACATTCCGTTTGGAATCAGTGTTGAATTAAAAAAATCTTTTGGTTCTAAGTGGCTAGTTGATCATCTTTCAAAATTTGTATTCTCTATCGAATCGGACGAAATCCTTTGCTTCAAACAATCTGTCATGGAAGCAAATGACACCATTATTCTACAAGAAAAGCTGCCATCTGATGTTCAGTGGGTTGCTTTTAATGTAGACCACAATATTACCACAATCTGGAGAAGGCACATTTCATTGGATGGTTATCATATTGGTTACTTGGTATCTGGATGCCAAAAAAGTTTCATAAAACGTTTAAAACAAAAAACGAAAAAGTCTGATTTAGTTACGGATCATGGTGTTAAGATATTGCCTTATTTAGGATTTAGTAACATTGGCTTTTAGATGATTAAATTTAAACCTCAACGAGAAATGGCATCTCCGTTTACACTTCCCAGAGAATTAAATTTTGACTTGTTATGGCAAGGTGGCTAGTTTTTCATTTCCACTGAGTACCCGCGGCAAAACTGGTCAAGTTTATGCAATTAACTACTGATACAGAGATTTGTTCGCAAAAATCATTAGTTTCGTTTTTTCCAATAATTGATCTCAACCCTTCTGATAAAACATGCATTTACTCCACATTCGTTTTGTCATCGATCAGACTGAAAAATTACACATACTAATATCTTGCGTAACTTTTGATCAACAGTTATGGATAAAAGCGACAGCAATCATTAAAGAAGAAAATTTAAACATAGTATGCAGATTGGATGAATTTCCTACCATAATAAGTTAAAAATTGGGATAGGGATTGGGTTTTTTGGCTTTTGTAGTGTAGTCCTATTGTATTGCAATATTGACTACCATGTCGTAGAGTGCAGGCGGTGAAATCTTTTGCAAGGACACGCCCCTGACGAGTGGCGTTAGTGCAGGTCTCGGGGTCTCCGAAACGTTATTGGTGATTGCAGTGCATTCCTGATGAGGGGGATCACCATTCATAAACTACTTGATTCTATTTGGTTATTATGGCACCAACATTTTTTCACCTCTTACACCCATGAATTTTTGCGCTTTGTGAGCTTTTTATTATGAACTTGTTACATTAACGAAATTTATATATTTTTATGTTACACAGGTGATTGTCAGTTCTCAATTTATTATCTAGAGTTTAGACCATATATATTACCACATTTATTAGACTTTTTTTTTTTATATTGCTCTAACTATCATTTATTATCATTTTACTTACTATTTTGTTGTCTATTTATTTTTAATAAAAATAAGTAGATTAAAAATTAAAAATTTAATTTTATCAAACAACCAAAATTTCAAACAAACTCTTTGAGTATCCGCGTTCTTTATCTTTGTTCTTTATTTTATAACGATTTGCATGTAATTTTTTTTATTGATATATTTGTAAATATTATAATAAAGAACAAAAAAATTAACAAATAAAAAAAAAATTGTTTTTGTATTGTGCGATTACTTTAGGGGGATTATTTAGATAATTAGATTTATATTGACTTGTTTACTTATAGATCATTGTTTTATCATTTGCTAAAGATGACTAGAGTGTGAGCTATGGTTTCTCTCTTCTCGAGTCTCTAGCTTTTACTCCTCCTACTAAACAATTTTTACATTAATTTATGTTTTTTTACTTAAATGAAATAATCTACAATCCGTTTTTATTTTCACATCTCCCAGGTGTACGTAACTGGACGGCTTCTTATTTATGCAACACAATCTTTGTGTCGCATAAATAAGAAAATTTAGATATAGTATGCAGATTGGATGAATTTCATACCATAATGAGTTACATTGGAAGCATTTGTAAACTTATGGAAGGATCTGATTTGGAGGAGTAGTTTAATGAGATATACGCAGAAAATAGTATTATACATTTGATGTCCGGAAAAGCAACCGCAAGGTCACTTCGAGCGCATTAAATTATAATGCTGGATATCCTTGTTAATGATGGAGAGATTAATATTTCCTTGTTTCAACATATTTTTAAAAAAGCAATGAAAAGTACTTTAACTGAAGATGAATTTGAGAAGTTTGTAGAAACAGATCAATTTATTATCGCTTCAAGTAAAGTGGACAATTTCATTTAATCTCTGAAATCACAATCTACAACAGCAGAATTTTGGATTCAATATATGGAATATGTTACAATTGAAAAAAACTTTATTATTGCAGAGAGAACATCGAATTGGTTCGTTCACCTGCATACAGCAAAGCTTATGCTTTGTTTTATCTAGGTGCCAGAATTTATGTTCAAGAAATGGAACGCTGGCGTCTCAAAAGTTCTTGGTTTAGTTACTGCTTTTATAATGGATTGCATTCTGTAAAAAGAAAGAGTCGTTACTGGGCGGGGCTTTGATTTGGTAATAGAACCAACATTAATGCGTCTATCTTCAAGTAATTAAATAGAAGTTACTTGATGAGCGTTTGAATCTTAATCCTGAAGACTGGGGATGCAAAAAAGAAAATAATGCTCTTATTCCAATAACGAATAAATTATTCCAATAAAGAATAGAGGTGATTTTAATATGACTAAAACATTAGGCTTGACGCAATTCGTTTCCATTTTTTAATATAAGTGGAACATTCCATAATAGTAAATTTATAATATTTGAAAAATAACTTAATATATTTAATTACATCGAATTATTTTATAGGAAAGACAAACTTTGAATATGCAGGATGACAGTATCAACGATTTTGAATACTTTGACGATACCGATGACATTAGTAACATATTTGAAGATTTTTTAGAATAACTTTTTACTCAGACTTTTTAACCATATTGTTTTAAATAACTTTTATTTTAGATTTTGTCTCATAACTTCAGCCAACAGTTATATTCGGGCCCGCAGGGTATCCTGTATGGGTCCCAGTCAAATCCCCTACTTTAAAACCGTGAGTGGCCTATTTGGGATTGCAATCGGGACCCATGTAAAAAGCGCATCGGGAACCCGCCGGATCTTGGCCACGGTTTAAAACGTTTAAAATTTAAAGAAAAAGAAAATTTATTACCTTGATTAGTTTATTTAAAAAAATCAAAATTCTACTGTCGAAATCAAGCAAACTTTTAAACGATTCTTCAATCGCAATAAAAACATGGACATGTTTTTATTATCAAAAGTATATACTAAATAAATATTAAAAACAATAACTATTGAAGAATCTTATTACTTATTTTGTTTATTATAATTTGTTTCATAGATATAGTAGATTATTTTATTCTCTAAACAAATTATTTTTAACCCATAGTTCTTATAGGAATTTGAATCAGCATTAAATTATCTTTTCAACGATATATGAAAAGTACATTTTTGAAAAAAAAACTTTGATCATAATAATTATTACCATTTTTTACTAAGGCCCAAAAGAGCACCTTCCGGTGCTCTTTTGGGCCTTATTAAAAAAAGGGTAATAATTTTTAAGATTGACAACAACAATAATTGCAATAATAAGGTGAATTTATGGTGAATTTATGCTCAAAGCTTCATTAGTTACACAACTCGTTTTGCAGCTTTATCAGTGAGGATTTTTTTGCCCATTTACCCCATTTACTGGCTAAAATAAGCATGAATGCTTCTTTGTTTAGTGCATTTGTCTCAGTAAATATTTTGTCTTTTTTTCTATATTTGTGATGAATATTTTTATTTAACTGGTCTAATAACTGCCTAACCCTTGTTGTATCTGGAGGAGAAAGAAACTTTAAAGGAAGAAGAAGATTAAGGAATGACATGAATAAAAAAATTAAAGGAATGACATAACATGATAATCAAACCTCGAAACCTCGAAGCAATTAAGGTGAAAACCAATAACAGTAACATCAAAAGTTTAGAAAAAATATTTTAGCCAGCGTTTCTTTAGATCTTCAGAGTTTCATTGCCAAGTCATTTAGATAGTCTTGAAAAAAAAAGTTATAGTCAATTTAAATACCAATATTGGTATAAAAATGGATTATAATCTTTTTTTCAAAAAAAAAAAAAAAAAGATTTGAAAAAAGAATTTTTTTTTTTAATTACGCGTTATAAGTTTATTTTAAAAATCTAAAATGTTATAAGAACTACGTACATCAACATGTTATAAACAAATGTTTAGGGAAAAACGGCATGCATCTTGGCAGGCGAAATAGTGGGCATGCAAGTTTTTCTAAACCGTATTTGAGATTTTAACCAGCAGGTTAAAATTTCAAAACACGCATGTCCACTATTTCGTCTGCCAAGATGCATGCCGTTTTTCCCAAAACATTAGTTTATTACATGTTGATGTATGTAATTCTCATAACATTTTAGATTTTTGAAATAAACTTATTACGCGCAATTAAAAAAAACTTTCGAAAGTTCGAACAATTAAAAAGATCGCATACCAAAAATGAATAATACAGGCATTAAAAAAGTGCTGCACAGTTCGATCAAAATTGACCTAAAAACACCTTCCTAAAGCTTCCGTTTGGTCATCATTACAACGAATTATACACTAAACATGTTCTTATCGTGTTGAGAAGAAATTGCAAGAGTTCAGTAGAGATTTTTTTAAAAAAGATTTCATGCTGAATAATGAAAAGTTATTGATGATTATTCAAATTTTAGTTTTGTTAGGCGGTCTAATATATGAAATCTAAAATTCAATCAAGCAAATTTAATACTTAGATTAATTTAACAACGCTTCAAATTTAAAAAAATTTTTAAATTTATTTTTTCAATATGGAATTCAGAATTTTATATAAGAATTATTCTTATACGATTAAAAAAAAAAAATTAGTTATAGCGACCGCGTTAGTTTTATCAAATAACAATCAAAATTTCGACGTTAAAAAATGAGTAAACGTAAAAATTTAGAGATTTATTAACATTAGAGTTTCGTATCAAAAGAGTTATTTAAGTTACAGTTTCGTATAAAGAGTGTAAATCAAGTTCTTTTCGTCTAAAGCAAGGAGTAAAATAAGGCCTTATTCTTTTACATTACCTTATTAACATCTATACTGAAAGCCTTCTCGAAACCATTCAAAATCAAAGCATTGTAGGCACATCAGTATATGGTAACTTTACTGGTATGATAGCATATGCGGATGATGTTTTTAAGCTCTATACTTTCTGGTCTCAAAAAGCTTATAAAAACTTGAAATATTCACAATAATTTGAATTGTATTAAATAAATGACGAAAATGCTGAGTTCTTGATTTTAGGTAAATTACTGATTAAATGCAATACAATAATCATTTCTGTTATTAAAAAAACCTTCAGAACAAACTTAAACACCTGGGGTACTAAGTAATCACAATATTTGGATGTAAAAATCTTAAACTTTAGAGCCGTTACTCAAACTCTTATTTAATCTGGAATCCAGTTTGCCAACCGGAGTTTCATTTCCTATACATATATAAATTATGTATAAATTTGCGACGTTAGAGTTATCTTGTTCTATCTCCACTTTTTGAAAAAATTGAGTTACTGAGTTTGTTGTGTACCTCAGAATAATGTTTTTCTACTGTATTAAAACCTAAGTTGTAATCAAAAAAGTTGCGGAGAAAACATAAGTTATAAAAAAACCTTTATATACCATCGTCTAATGTTTTTATTTTTTAAATCGTTTTATCTCAAAACTCAAAAATGTGGAGATAAAACAAGATAATTCTAGCGTCGCGAACTGTTAGCATCGCTTACCTTAACTTAAGGTATGGAGATATGAGATGATAATGACGTATTAATGAAAAAGTTGGATATAGTTAGAAGGAGCGCGCTAAAATTACTTTTGAACGTTTTGAAATACTGTAAAAACTATATAAGTTCTCTATTTAAAATCCAGGAAATTCAAACTGCATGAAACAAAATAAACCGAACTTTTTCATTCGTTTCAAGAATAAATCAACTGCAGAGATTATTTTTCACAACTGTATAACCTTTTATTTCAACATTTTTTTATTTTCGATATACAGGAAGTATGCCGTCGTCAAAAAAAAAAAGCAAAAAAAAAAAAGGTGAAAATAGCACTTTCCAACAGTGAAATTTCCCAGACATGGAAAAAAACTTTAAAACTTGTAGTAGAGTGCTGAAATACAAAAGAAATAAAATTGTTTTCAAACGAATTCTTAAAGAAAGTATTATTAAATAAAAATCAATGAAAAGAACTTTATTTGGTGACCTATAACTCAACCTAATTTTGAAATTTCTTAAATAGTAGATTATTAACTTGTTTGATTTTCAACCAACATTTTTTGATTTTTATATTTACACTTATTTAAATCATGTACTTTTAATTTTTGTACTATTAGTAAAATATGTACGACTAAATTTTCAACCTATTATATCATTGACCTACTGAATTTTTAATCTGTGTTTTAAATTTTATAACTACGCATTTCCGGTACATATTTTGTATATTTTCTTGTCGATTTGTATACGAGCCAAATTTGATCAGCCTTGGCGCAGTTGTTGAAGCGCTGTCTTCAGAATTGGGAAGTATAAGGTCTAACTATCTGACACGAATATTATTACATTGTGTGTTTAATAAGTTTAAATAATAATAAATGATAAGAAAAAAGTCGTTCTCCTCCAAACGCTTTGATCTTTATTTAGTTTATTAATGAATACGTTTTGATTAATAAAATTTCAGTTTTTACGATTGAACGCAATTCCTTAAATACATAGTTTTTCAAATTCGATTCATTTTTTTTTAATTATTTATAATTTACATAAATAGAGTTAAATTTATATTTCCATTTACGTATTTCGATTTCAAAGTGTATTACGGATTTTTATTACTTATCTCGATTTCAAAACGCATTTCGGACTTTCATTACGTAACTTGATTTCAAAACATATTTCGATTTAAGATTTAGATAAATAGAGTTAAATTTATATTTCCATTAAAACGAACGTGTTACAATTTATTATTTACATAGAGTAAAATTCATATTTCCATTTATACAAAATTGTTGGCGATTTTATACAAAATTGTTGGCGATATTATTTACTTACATTTATACTTTAATAATATAATCTTACTTTAATCACAGCTATATATTATGTTGTAAATTTACATCAGATTAATAGATTTATATAAGATAAATAATAATAGAAACTAAGGAAAAAAGTCTCGCAGCTTTCACAAACTTAAGTCAGATAATTTATATGCAAGTTTTCAAAATATAAATCGTGATATATATTAAACATAGTGATGGATAATAAAATTAATAAATATGTAATACTTAAAAAATATTGCAAAAGTGAACTAAAAAAACCTGATTTTATTATATATTTTACAGCTAAACTAATATATACAACACTACAGCAACTGTTTAGTTATTTAGTGCTCTTCTTCAAAAGCTGGGTTATGTCGACCCTTTGCATGTTTTTCACCTAAAAAAATAAATATAAGTTATTTAAAATGTTTCTGATTTACAATGGAAGTTAAGTGTGTTTGTAATAGCGGTATTGTTGATAAATATTGTGATCAGGCTCCGCTTTAGGAGCCTACATTGTTTTTGCATTATTTTCGAAAGCGTGTAATTGCACGCTTTTGAAAATAATGCAAAAACAATGTAGGAAGATGGTTTAATACTTATTGCAGAATTTTTCAAGTTTGCACGCTTAATAAATTGGCTCAAGCAGATCCTGTTTGAAACAAACACAACAATAACAAATGTTAACTATGTTTGCATAAACCTAAAATCAATTCTAAAAAAGAAGAATGGTTGTTTGTTTTAAAATATATTTTGGTATAAAACACTGTGAATAGTTTTATAAATTAGTGAATTAGTTTTTAATGCTAATTGTGGCAACTATTTACTAATTATTCGTTGTACAATATTGGTAAATCATGTATTAAAAGAAATCTTATCATATAGGAAAAAAAAGCATAAAAAGAAAGATAAAGAAAGGAATATAATATTTGCACTTTTATTGGTGATGAATTTTTTAATGGTTGTTTTAATGGAATTTTGATGGTTTTATCGTTAAGCTTTTTAATAGTTGATGATTTTGAGGTTAAAGTTTAGAATTAGGATAAGGAATAGCTGGAAAACTGTTCAAGTTGCGGAAAACTGCACTTTTACAATCTGCAACCTCTATCTGCACCGCTATCTAAACCTAAAAGTTTAAACAACACAGAATAATCGGTAACACAATACGGTCAATTTCTCGCTGATTCACAGTGCAATTTTAACATTTCATACGATGGTGAGTTCTTCTACCCGATATTAACCTTATGATCTTAACTAAGGGTGCATGGAAAGTTGAGAACCACCAGCCGTGGATTACCCTATAAGCAAAAGCTTAGGATAGCAGACCAAAAGGGGCAGCATATAGGTGGGATTTTATTTTTTACTGCTTTTTTTTACACCTCATACAATACTATATGAAGTATTAAATACTGCTTAAAATCTCACCTTTCAATCCATGGCATAATGTAAATTACTTAAGGTCTCATCAACATCATATTATTACCGACATTGAAAAAACTTCTGTCAGAAAAAAAAAACGAGTTCTGATGCGATGAAAAATGGAATAGATAATGAAAATTCTGAAATCAAGAAAAATAACCTTACAGTCAATGTGAATGCAGCCAACTAAGAAAACGATCCTGCTCTATAGGATGAATTATCTGTGGAGGATAAAGCCTTATGGGTTGCTGCTGAATCAAACAATTGCAACACCATAAAGATTTTTTCATAAAGGTCTATTTTTACATCTTTGAAAAACACGACAAGATAAAAATCTTGTCGAGTTTTTCAAAAATGCAAAACAAAAAAAATTTTGCTCACCAAAAGTTTTGGTTGGAAGAAAAACTAATTGCAACAAATATCGACGGGAATAGTTTTTGTGTTATAAGTAAATATACTCTATATTGCTTTGCTTGTAATTTTTTTGCTTCAAAAAAACTTCTTCTCAGTTTGTTGAGGTTAAATACAGTGACTGGCAAAACATTGTGGCAAAACCACACAAAAAAATTCAGCTTCACCAAGATTGCTTGCTACAATATCTCACCACCAGACAAGGTCAAAGACTACAGCATGCATTTGACCATCAGATAAAGGAATGTGAGTATTAGAAACATGTGTTGGAGCAAGCCAATGTCAACATCTGTACAATGGCTGTGCGTGAACTAAATACTGTAATTTTGGCAAAAGAAACCCTTCCTATCTTTTAAAGACAACTCGCAATGAACTTTTCAAACTAATAGAAAGTGGTTTATTCAAGCATTGCCAATGAAGTCAATTTCTCTGACTACTTTAGTCTTTATGTTGATTCAACCCCAGATCTGTCGCATGTGGATTAGTCATCTGTTGTTGTTTGTGTATCACTTCTATTCAACCAATAAACTTGTGTGTTGTCTGTAAAACAAATAGTCATTGTGTAGTTGACTGTTGTGATGCAGCACTTTTTCTACATTATTAAAATAATTACATAATTAAACATAAATACAGTTGCTCTGTACGTTTTACTCTGCATCAACTGATGGAAAATTCTTTTACATTGTTTAAGTAGTTAAATGGTTCTGAAATTACTTTCAGATTACTTTATGGGAAGCACAAGCTGTCGCAACTGATGCTACTTTAATGTCTTTTCAACCAATCCTTACTACTATTTTTTCATGATTTTAATGTTGAAAATACCAGAAATTAGTTGAACTTTAAACGGAGGATCTAGACTACAACTTTGCAGCTGAATTGCAGCAGTTTCAGACTTACCAGTAAAAAAATACTCTATTATTACTATTTTGACACCATTGCAAAAATATTTTTGATGTTAGAGGTCAATATCTAAATGGTTGTTTTTAAGGCTAAAGCATTTGAAATCTCCCAATCGAGTTTCAATGAGTCAAGAGAAGTGTGATTCTCTAGCTCTTTTAAGCAAGAACCAGATATTATGAGAAATATTCAAGTTAAAGATATAATTAAGGACTTAGCAATGAAAAAGGCAAGAAGAAAGTTATAGTTAAATAATAATTTCTGGTTTTATATAATAACTTTTGTCACAGTAATGCTGTCAGTTTATAAAAATGGTTTATGACAGCACCTACAAAAAAATCAGCTTTCAAACTCACTTTTGTCTCTGTTTACAACCAGAGTCAATCAAGGGTTCCAATATTTAAAGAAAATTGAAGTAAAAAATTTAAAAATTAAATCGCAAGTGTATTTGATCTGTATAATATGATTTCAAAAGTAAAAATATCATTTAACTAAATAATAAACTAAATAATATCATTTAGTATATGTAATTATATAAATTTTCTTTATATTTTCTTAGTTTGTTAAGTTTGTAAATAGCGCAAATATCAAATGTAAATGTCATGCAAACTTTTTTATGTAATCGCAAACTTTATAAGTGGTTTTTATAACGTTAATTACTTCTTTATCTTACCTTTTAAATGATTATTTTAATCTTGTTTAAATTTTTAAAATGATAGAAATCCGTGAAATGGCTTGATGGCTTATGTTAAATGGCTTAGCGCGTATGTAAATAATGCACCAATTTATGCTTTAAAACAAGGCCTGCTGTTATTATACACTTTTGAGTTGTGTAACTTGTAATATGTACAAAACTTGTAATATGTATAAAACTTGTAATATGTATAAAACTTTTAATATGTATAAAACTAATAAAATAATATGTAACACAATACAATACTAAATGATATTGTTTGGTATATTTACTTAAATTCAGTATCCTTTACTTTAGTCTTTTATTTTAGTCTTTTACTTTAATCTTTTACTTTAGTCTTTTACTTAAGCCTTTTACCTTAGTCCATCATACTTACATTACATAATTATAAGGTTACATATATTCCATATGTAAAGAAAATTGAAGTAAAAAATTTAAAAACTAAATCGCAAGTATGTTTGATCTGTATAATATGATTTCAAAAGAAATAAATAATAATAATAATATAAATAATAATAATCATTTAGTTTAAGATACACTTACCAATATTATAAGATATATTTGAGCATTATTTTTAGGCTTCAAAGACCCAACGACTCTTAAGTCATCCCATCCCTCTAAAATCCCCTTCCTGGTAGGAATACCTCCAGTACAGTAGGGCAGCACAGTACAATAATCCAGCCCTGGGAACCACACATATACCAAATAAAGTAATGTCCGCACAAAATATTGGTTGTTTTTCTCTCAAATGAGTATGAATATGTTATTAAACTAAAAGAGGCTGAATTGATTAAATCCGGAAAAGAGCATACATAAATTAAATCCAGAAAAGAGGCTACATGAATTCATTCATGAAAAAATGTCGATTTAATATCAACATTGATTTTTCTTCATACTGGTAATTATCCAAAGGAAAATGATTATTTTAAATATTCGTCAAAATTAACTATTAGAAAAAAAATTAAGTAACTCAATACAAGACTATTTGCAGAATCATAGTTGGAAGAAAATGATGATGAAAATGATTCAAATACAACATCAAAGCTTGATGACACTATCAACCACTTTGTAAACCATCAGAAAACAGTCAAAACTTTGATTGAAAATGAAATTAAGGCGTTTGAAGGAGCAAAAGAACGTACAGATAAACTTCAGATGATCTATGATGCCTTATTAACTGTGCAAGCAACATCAACAGACGTTGAAAGAGTCTTTTCTGTAGCTGGAAACTTCAAGACTAAACTTTGTAATAGAATGAAAGAAAAATTGAATATGCTTGTATTTTTAAAATATCATTTCTTAAATAAAAGCTAAAATTTGAATTGAAATCAATTGATTTTTTTCATACATTTTACTATTTGGTATTTGTACAAATTTTGGGGGGTCACTATTGGGGTATTTGGTATTTGTACAAATAATGAAAACCCAAATATTTGGCATCCTTACACCAAGACTCCAACACAAGGATTTTTAGATCGAAAAGGCAAAAGTATTAAGAAATTTAATGAAAAGCTAACTTATCTTGATTTTGTGTATGCTTTTTTAAAACAAGACAAGTTGGCTGTCTGAGTTTCAATCATTCAAGCATTCGAGAGTTGGAATAATGCCTGAAATAATATATGCATACTTTGACCAACTGATTAAAAATTATAAAAAGGAGAGGGACAAAATATCTTGAAAGAATTTAAAATATTGGAGACAATATGGGATTGCCTCTACCCAGGAATCAGATAGATTGTGCAAAACCAATGGTGGGAGTTTCATATTCTATCCTGCAAATTCAACCCATCTAATCCAACCACTAGTAGCTTTTATTCCAATTACTAAAAATGAAATAGCGCCAAATATTAGAAGAGTGGGAAAAGGGTCTGGAAATAAAATGCAGCAACTGTTCCAGAAGATAAGTTCCCCCAAAAAATTACCATGACCAACTATTTGACAAGATTCTGAGCAAAACAATTTTTTTTATAATATCTTTTCAGTTTCTTTTTAAGTAAATTCAGAATATGTTTACAACTTCTTCTAGTATCCTACCCTAGACAGCAAATAACACATAGCCAATTGTTATCTTATTTCACTCTTAACATATTTTTAACTATTTTTATTAACATATTTATAACAACTTTAATTTTTTAATTGCTACTTTTTATATTAAATCATTTTGCTTAGATACATATTCCTTATATTTATAACAACTTTAAATTTTTATATTTATAACAACTTTAAATTTTTTAATTAACCCTTATATTTATAACAACTTTAAATTTTTTAATTGCTACTTTTTATATTAAATCATTTTGCTTAGATACATAATCCTTCTGTATTTAATTGACTTCATTAGTTTGAAACAACTTTTTTTGTGTGAATCACCAACAAAAATAAATTCTTTAATATTAATATATCTTCGAATATAAATTTTACTTCATACCACCATTATTATTTTAATAATGCTTCATAAATTAATTATTAATATTTTCAACATTAAAATTTGTTAATATATTATATTTTAATAATATGCTATATATGCTATATATATAATATGCTATATATGCTATATATACTTATTAATATATATATCCATATATAAAATAAGATATATAGAATAAACAACAATAAAACAATTTTATATTGATTTGACCAAAAATTGTATTTATTAGACATTTTATAAACATATAAGTTAAGTTTAAATATTAGTTTTTATTTTGCTTAAAAATAATTAAAATAATAAAAATGATATTTATAATTAAATAATATATATTTTGAACCTAAAAAACGTTGTTATATTTAATTATTGCATATTTATAGTAAATTTATAATTATTTTTAATTATCAATGACAATTATAAATAATAATATTTATTTGCTAATATGTAAATAACAATGTTTACTTGATGAGTGTTTGTGATGTTTTTCTTCTGAAACTATTGGACCTGTGCTTTCACTTGGTGAAACTGGACGTTTTTTATGCTGAAAAATTTAATTATCAACCATTCATTATTATTAACTTTTAATTTAAAATAAAAGAAATATAGTTAATACATTTACTAATGATAATACACATTATTTATGTATTGATAATAATAATAACATTATTAATATTGGAGTGCTAAATATTTTTAACTAATACTTTTAACAGTTTTAACACTTTTCCAGATAAGTATCTATTTTGATACATTGATAAATGAGATGAGATTAACAAGATTATTATAGACTTTATTTTTTTACACTAGTTAGACTATATTATTTATATTTTTTTAGACTAGTCAGACTACTGATTATAATTAAATAATATTGTGTATTTGCAAATAACATTGTGTATTTGTTATTATATATGTATACATATATAATAACATATATATATATATAATAAAATATATAATAACACCTTTTTAATGACTAATTAAAAAGGTATTTAAGGAATAAGTAACGTTAATTCGATAGCGTTAAAGCATAGAATATCTAAAATACCCACAACAAAAACAAAATAAGTAGGGATTTAATTTTTGAAAATTTTTGAATCGAACCTTGAATCATTTTTTTGATATTTATATATATATATATATATATATATATATATATATATATATATATATATATATATATATATATATATATATATATATATATATATATATATATATACATATATATATATATATATATATATATATATATATATATATATATATATATATATATATATATATACATATATATATATATATATATATATATATTATATATATATATATATATATATATATATATATATATATATATATATATATATATATATATATATGTATATATATATATAAATATATATACATATATACATGCATATATATATATATGTGTATGTATATATATATATATATATATATATATATATATATATATATATATATATATATATATATATATATATATATATATATATATATATATATATATATATATATATATATATATATATTTAGGAGCATCAAGAGTTTGCAACCTCTTTTGAACAAGAAGTTTCAAATTTTGATGTACAAAGGAGATAACCTACTTAATACAAGGAGTGAAATAATCTCAAAATAAACTTTCAAAACTTTAAAAATTTTATTTCCATGGAGTCATTAGAATTCACACCACAGTAATTCTAATTGTAATTTTAACATTAAATTTTTAGTTTTGTAATATATGGCTGATGATTGCCGTTAGGCATGAAACTTACAGTTTGATAATAAAAAATTTTCCTTTTTGGTTTTTAATTAAAAACCGTTCTGTTTTGAAATTTATATATAATCAATATAAATTTCCTAAATATTGAGCACTCTTCAAAGAACAAGAGTTTTATATTATCTTAATACAACACTACATGAAACAATATATATATATATATATATATATATATATATATATATATATATATATATATATATATATATATATATATATATATATATATATATATATATATGTATATATATATATATATATATATATATATGAATAAACCTCAGGCGCAGTGTTCATATACTATATATATATGTTTGCGATCTGTCTAAATCTTTAGCACAGTATTTACTCACCCATAGTAACCCATAGTCTATGTTTGTGCTCTGCTTAATTCTCTGGTGTAGTGTTGGTATGGTCTAAGCCCAGATACCAACTAGTGACTACAACTATGTACACTCACCTTAATTTCCAGTATTCCTTTAGATGTAATGTCTTTCCTAAAGCATTTTCAAAACCTCCCATTCAATGATTCAAAGTACTTCTTACAGAACTAAATTTTTACTCTACTTTAGGTCGGGTCAGGTTCAGGATCATCACAACCGTCCTGCTACTAGTAACATGTAACCTAGTACTATCTCCTCATGTCCTGTTGCCTTATAGGATTTGCATTTCTTGTCACAAGCTAGAGGAAACAAACTCTAATTTAAGGTTCCTCAGCCATTGGGGTTCATGGTTACGAAAAGACTAGAAATAGTGTTTTAATAAAAACCAACTTAGGCATATGTTATTGTCTATTGTCTAAAAGAAAGCTTTGTAGGCAAATACTTTAGGGGTAAGCAGAACAATTCTGTTAACCAGCTTTGCACCTTTTTTCATCAATTAGGCTGACATAGATGTAAACCTTATATTACTTAATAAGGGTACAGCTTTAAAACTCAGTTCAATGGTTCTAAGACCTTGAGGCTGTTTCCATCAACAGCTTTAAAATATCAGAGTATCAACATGAACTCACTGTTAGTGCTTTTGATGTACTATCTATGAATAAGTCAAGTCCTTTTTAACTTAAAATATGACTAAAGTAACAAAAAATATAAAACATTAAAAAACTTCACTACCACCTAGCTGTTTCAATATTTCATTTACAAATACTCTTTTTCTTTGAAGTACCATTCAAATTTCACAATATTCAAAAAATTATTAATATTTTACACTGACGCTCCATTATTTATAGATTACTAAATCTCTTATTTTATATTAGAAATTAAGCTCTAGAGACTTTTGGAAAATCTTTAACAGTGCCATCAAAGGAAATCAACTAATCTCTAGTAATGGGGCTAATTATATTGTCTTTTCCAAGGATAAGGTAGAAATAATTGCAAAAAATGCTTTATCTAATTTATTCCTAAACTTATGACCTCCTTTTTTCCTTTTTTTCTGTCATACCAGAGAAACAAATCAATCTATATTTAGATATTCAAATTACTGCTGCTTATGCTGTTTAAGATATTCCTTAGTAAAGCATATCAACAGCCTAAACTACTCTATACATACTCACTAAACTATTTAAAAAGTGCTTAATTTGAATGTTATTTTCATGCCTGCTTGAAAATAGCATTTTTGACTCAGTTGAGAGTTCAGAAAATTCTGAACTCTCAACTGTTGTCCAATCAGACTTCTCTATACTATCAGCATAGTATTCAAATAATTGACAAATTTTTAATAAATCAATTTAAAAATCAGTTTAAAAGCTCTCTGACAACCAATACAGCTTAAGGGACTCTTTTGACTTGCTCTTGATATATTAAAAGCTTTCAATACATCTCCATAAACTTTTATTATATGGTGCATCTGGTCAAGTTTTCACTGAATCGTTTCTTTCTGATCGCAGTATTAAAGTTGTCCTTGAAGGACAACACTCTTCTTCATTTTTAGTAATTTGTTCCCAAAAGATTCCACCCTTCATTCTTTATTGTTTCGCATCTATATTAATGATCAATCTTACATCTAAAAAAAACACAACTATATACTACAGTCTTGACAATTGCCACCAGCTTTTGATTGCTTACAACAAGCAGCTAAACTTGAGTGTGATATCTCCTCTGTATTAGCTTTGTATAGAACAGAGTATAGTTATAAACAGCGACTTCACGTTGATACTCTGATATTTTAAAGCTGTTGATGGAAACAACCTCTCTAAGACACAGTTCAGGACCACAGAGTTTGGAAAACCATATTACCAGCAGGGGAGAGAGCTTGTGGGTTGAATGGGCTGGCGAATTTCAACCCAGATAAATCCCAGTTGTTTGCTCCTAATAATAATTGTCACAATATTGTTTATATTTGTATATCTTATATTGATGAATGGCAGTATTAATACTGAGTCTTCTAGTTTGCATCATCTTGGATTATCTTTTAGAATTCTCATGAAAACCTTATATACAAATCATAGCATAATAAGCATTCGATAAGACTCTACTTATCATGCTCATCGTTTTGGTATTCTTGATTCCTTTCTTTACTTCTATAAATCTCTTATTTGACCAAGAATGAAATACTGTTTAACATTAGTGTTTCATACTTGTTTCACATTTGATTCACAGCTTGAGCCTCTGCACTATTTTTATAAGTTCTTTTTCTTTTCTAAAAAAACTTTTCTAAAAACTTTTGTTTATCTAGCTTTTTTCCTCACACATTGATGCTTTGGAATTCCCTCCTGTTTTCATGTTTTCCTGAATTATAAAATCTGCAGTTTTTTAAGTCTTCTGTCAATGGTTTAATTGTCCTTTAACTTTTTTAGTTTTTTTGTTTTAGTAACTTAAATAGCTTTTTTGGAGTGAATTAGTAAAAAATATAAATTTTGTTGTATTCTGCAATTTTATTATCAGTTCTAGAATCCATATTTTTATATTTTTTAAAAAAACCTTTATAAAATACTACTTCTTTCATAAAATAATTTACATTAACACATATATACATAAACATAAATGTTATAAAAAACAAACCTTTTTTTTATGGCTGATGTAACAAAAAACTCCAATAATAATAAGAAAAAGGACTCCAATAACAACACATACAACTGTGATTGCAATTTCTGCATCAGTTAAACCATCATCATCATCATTTGAACTAGTTGGTGGCTGAGTTGGTTTAACTTCATAGTTAAAAGAAAAAGAATCATTTGAAGCAGTAAATTCAACTCCATTGATTGTTATTGTTAACTTTCCATTCTGAATTAGTGACTGTACATCAACCAAAATATTAGCAACACTATCAGGATCACCAACCAATTTAAAACTCACAATCGTACTTCCATTTGAAGTTGCACATGATTGAAAATTGTCACTCGTTAGATTAAACTGATTTTGACATGCGTTACAAACACTAGTATCGTCATCTTGACTATAAGGCTTTTTAAAGCTAAATTTGCAACTAACAACAGCATATGAAGGATTTAAAGTAGTTGTTGTTGTATTTTCTAAAGCAGATGTTGTTGCTGATGGTTCTACTGTTGTTGTTATTGGTATACATGGTTGTACTGTAAAAGGAATGATATTATTTTCAACATCCTCATTAATCCAAAACACACCAGTAAGAAATGGACCTGGACAATAACATGTGACATATGACTCATTGCCAACACTTGTACTGCAGTCATTTATTTCCCAAGTTACACTTAAAGGGTTTAATTGAAAGCACTGTAATTCAAAATTAATAAAATAATTTAGTAACAGTAAGTTAAAAAAAAAAAAAAACATTTTAATTTAAAAAATACCTGCAACCAATATGGTGCACTTGTTGTTGTTGTGAACATTTCTGTAGTTGTTGTACTTGCATTATTTTGTGAAGTATCATTGTAAAAATTGGTTGTAGTTGTAGCTTCAGTAGTTTCAGGAATATAGTCTTGAACAATAAAATCAATAGATATAGATGAATAGTTAATACAAGTTATAATGCAATTTGTTATAGGGTTCAAAATGAATGCAAATCCAACAGAAGAAGCTATATCACTGTCTTTACTCTCAGAATAAAAATCAGTCTGAAAAAAACATTATATGAAATTTGTTTAATATAGTTCAATAAGTGTTTACATTAATGCTTTATATAAAACAGTTCCAGTAGCAAATATGAATGTCAAAAGTCATACATTGTTTAACAACTATTATGTAAAATCTAAAATTAAAGAATGCAAACAAAGTCTATCAGAAAAAGGAACATAAACAAAAGGTTCATATTACTAAAATTAAATGTTTGTCGTAGAAAATTAAAGTTGTTTAAAACTCAGAGAAAGTTGTTAACTAAGTAGTTAGATTAAATTATTTTTTAAAAAATTGTTAAAAAAAAATTTTTTTTTTTCTAATTGTTTTGCTTATTATTCAAAAATGATTAAATAGTATGGTATATACATAATTGCAGTAATATTATATTATGTATTATATAATTTTATAAACACTTTTAAAAAATTTTAATTATTTAAGTAATATGCATTTTAAAAATACAATCTCGAAAAAAAAAAGATTAAATGTTTGAATATTACCTTTCTATTTTATAATAAGAAATTGATTTTTTGATCAAAAATTGTTTTTTTGTGACCATAATGGTCACAAAAAATCAATTTTTGCTGACTATAAAAAAATTTTAATGATAACACTGATCAACAAATAAAAAATATTTTGTTTCATTAATATCAATATTGTGACCAAAAAAATTTCTTTAAAAAAAAGCAAATCTGTTATAAAAAAGTTTTTTTAGATTTTGCAAAGTTTGAAATTTAAATTAATGTTTAAAGAGAACTTTACTATGGCCACGTTCAGTCTGGGTAATTTCTTTTTGACGTACTTGAAAACCTGACCATCTTTTCCTAAGCAAAATTTATAAATTTGTTGAGTTCCAGCTTTATGTGTAATAGTGGTAACAAAACCTTTTTTTAAAGTCACTAGTGGAATGTGCTTTTTTTCCTAGATTTAGAGACTTCCATAATTCAAGAAAGCCATATTTTTGTTTTATGGCAGTCAGACTGTGCTTAATGATCCCACTTACAAAAAAAAACAGAAAAACTTATTTTGCTGCATCAGGTTTTTACTCAATATTGAGTGAATTAGTTAATATAAATTTTTCTCAATTGATCTCACATCAGAATATAAAGTTATTTTTCATCTCAAAGAACTGAGTTAAGTCTTTGTATCGGTGTAACAATATATTGAAATTTTTACATTCTCCTGCAGTAAATTGCTGCTAAAGACTGTAAAAATTTACAGACTCCAGCAGCAATCCTGCAGCAAATTTCACTGCTAGTGGAATCTGCTGTAGGAAAATGTAAAATTCTTTGGCTTTGGCTTTAAGCATGAAAAGACATGTTGTTGAGGAAAAAAAATTTATTAAAAGCTGATTTTTAAACTGTAGAAAAATGTGTATTAGCTTTGAAAAAAAGAAATCAAAGCTAAAGATGACCAGTTATTTGAAAAAAAAAAATCAACTAATTAAAAAAATAGAAGATAAAAATTTTAAAGAAAATTGCAAAAGGAACTTTGGACTGATGTTTTAAAAAGATAAACCTACTATAAAATCAACTAAATTTGATTATAACAGCAGCCAAAGAGTTAAAAAAAAAAAGGAAAAATAGCACTGTTGTACAAAATGGCTAGCAACCATCATAGAAAATAAATTTGATTTTTTACCATTTTGCACAATAGGGTATAATGACAGCTTTTCAAATTTTGCATTTTTAAAGCATTCAAAAACCTTCAAAAATCAATATTTATTACTCCAACACAGATATACATAATAACTCCAAACATACAAACATAATAAAAACATATATGGTTATTTTGACTCAATTGAAAACTTTTACAAAACGTTTTGATGTTTCAATGAGACAAAAACATTATTGTGCATCTGATTGGCTAAAACTCTTGTATTAAACAAAAATTCTGGAAATCGGCAATGTGCAGTTTAAAAGCAGTTTTTCACATCTTTAAAAAAATTTTGAAAATGCCTAATTTTGCTAAAAATCATGAAGATTGTCTGAAATCAGTTAATACCATACAAATCTTGATTAGAGTAGTGCCAAGAAGGATCTGTGAAGAAGATGAAGGAAAAGTTGTGGCTCTTCCACCTTTGTGGAAACCATTTGCTTTCTCATCTGTAAAAGTCAAAGCAGCAACAAGAGATCAAAATTGCAACTGCCTTATTTACCAAATTAGACATTAGAATCTGAATGAGAAGAGCCCTTTGGACTATTCCAAACCTGAGGAAGATAGCACTCCCCAACAATGTGGTCTGAATTTTTCACACCAAAGCTTTTTCAGAAAGCAATGGCAACTCCACTGACTATTTGGTTATAAATTACAAAGGTATTGCCCAATTAATAGTGGTCTTTTATCAAAGATTTTTTCATATCTCTATATGGTAAAGTTAGGAATTGATGGTGGTGAAGAATTTCTTAAAGTGTTGTTTAGCATTATTGAGTTCTCACTGTGATTTGAAGTCAGCTATTAATTCTCACTGTGATTTGAAGTCACCACATAAAAAACGTTTAACTGAAAAGGTAGCCAGAATTTCTTTTCTAGTCTTGACATTAAAAAGAAAAAAGGTTTTGGCAATGGAGTCCATGAGCCATTACTGTTTGGATCTAAAAACAAACTCATCTTGGAACTAATACCACCTATGGAACTCTATTTACTTCTTGGTGTGGTAAATCACATGTACAAAGCTTTGACAGAAGTTTGGCCTCTCTCCGCATCCAACAAGAGCCATGGTGGGCAATTTACAGGCAATGCCTGCCACAAGCTACTCAATAAAATAGATCTCCTCAAAAGAATTGCAGAGTTAGAATCAGCTTTTTAAGTTTTTGGAATCCATGCCCTTTGAAAGTATAAGTCTGTAGTAACAGCATGTTTTGAAATGATTTTGGAGGATGATACAGAAAAAATTAATTGCTTCAGAGATTCATATCTGGCTGTTATGAACATCAGTGTGACTCTGAAAGTTCATGTTGTTTTCTTTTATGTGAAGCAATTCATAGAGAAAAAAGGCTTGCTTGACGATCTTTAGTAAGTGAAAAACCAAAATGAATCAAAATTTTAGTTATATTAGTTCAATACAAAACAGACATTTTGGCAAACATTTTACCAAAACAAAAACCAAAATTTGACTAAACAAAACTAATTTTATTGGAAAATGTTATTTTAAAATGCAATTTTACATTTGTTGTTTATTTAAATTTGTTGTTTTTTTGCATTTGTTGTTTCTTTTTCTTTGTTGAGTTCTTTCCATCTTATATTATAATAGTAAATTAATCATCATAAATAAATAATAAGAAAATTTAAACTACTCATAGAAAAATCTATAAAAATACATCCACAAAATATTACCCTTGTTCACTTTCTATTTAGAGGTTAAGTAATTTGTGAACAATGGGTTTGAAATTTCATTTAGAAATTATTTTAAGGAAATGGTCAAAAATAATTAATTTTCTAAATTTTATAAAAATTTAAGTCCATACAAAATTTTCAGTTTTCTATATGTTTTTCAACCAAAATTTTGCTTCATAGCGAATAAAAAGTACAGAAACCAAATTTCGGTATTAGTTCAAGTAGAAATTTTAGCAGAAACCAAAACAGATCTTCAAATGATCACTAATTTATATGTTTCCATTCCAAATTGCCTTAATTATACACCCTAAGTTCTTTTCCATACTTAAATATACACCCTAAGTTCTTTTCAATACTTAAATATACACCCTAAGTTTTTTTCTATACTTAAATATACACCCTAAGTTCTTTTCCATACGTAGGTGCACAAAATCTGTATCGCTCTTTGAAAATTTGTATTGTTCTATTCTTATTATAATGATCTTACACGTTTGTTGGTTGAATTTTATCAACCACTCGTTCATTCCACTGATAAGTCTATATCTTTTTAAAGCTCAATAATTTCATTATTATTTTTTATTGCTCTAAGATTTCATCAGCAATAACTTTATGGTTTGATTTGAGACATTAATATAGGCTACAAATAATAGTAGTTCTACCACTGATTCTCACTCCACTGACAACCTCTTTCTACTTCTACTAATTTATTACCACTCTCACAAACTTCTTTTAAAATCACTGGCACAGTGCATTAATTTAATTTAAAACCAAGAGCATCCAATTTTAATAATAATTTTTTGTGATCAAATGAATCAACTAATTTGACAAAATCTAGAAAAAAAACAGTAATTTTTCAACCATTATCTATTGAACTTGTAATGAAATTTAGAGATTCCAATAAGATTGTCACACAACTTTTATTATTAACAACTCCATGTTGGTTTTTATTTATTTATTTATTGATTAATTTACTTTCTACTAAATATTTCATCATTTTATCTTTCGTTATCCTTTCCATAAATTTACAAACTAAAGATGTTAAGGATACATAGTTGCTTGGGTCTAATTTGTTACAAATTTTAAAGTGATGACCATGGTTAATACCACACAATGCTGGAGGGTGAACCATTTTATAAACTCTATTTTCATTCTCAGTTATAATCAAACACAGCACATTTGTCTCATCCCCAATATTATTTTTATACATTAAATATTATTTTGATACATTAAATCAAATTTTAGTAGTCATTTAGGATTAAAAAAATTATAATTTTATACTTTGACTTTAAAATTAAAAATATCTAACTTCTACTTAACCACAATCATATTTATATTATTTTTTTGTATTCAAAAAATTCCTTAATTTTAATATGGGAGCCATGAGTTGTTTGTGTAAACTAACTGTTCAAGCTGCAGGTTAAAATATATATCTAACCATAAAAAAGTACAACTTTATCTCCTTTTATAAAATTTACCAACCATTAGTCTAATCCTTTGTGATTTCAATAAGAAATTATATATAACAATATTTCAAATGAATTGTAAATAAGAATTTAAAAATTTAAAATAAACTAAAAAACAGAAAATTAAAAAAATTAAAACTGATTAAATGTTTTCAAACAAAATAAGAAAAACTAAAACACAATTTAATTCTTTTAAAACACATACCAAAACCAAAGCAACTTTAAGACCATCACATACATCAGTGTCAGTGCACTGCCAATCTGAATAGCTGTCAATGATACTTTGATCAATATTCACACAGTAACCATCATCAGAGCAAGCATAAGATTCATTTTGGGTTGTGTTTAACATTTGGCACATATAAAACATATTATCATTTGTGAAGTTTACATTATTTGTTTCAGATATATTTATTGATGAGCAAAGAGATATCAAACTCATAGCATTGTAAATAAACTCTTTTAAAAAGATTTGCATGGTGTCATTTTCTGCCATATTTAAATTTTGAATGAATGTTACTAT